TAAAATTATGACACCCTAAAAATAATTATTGTGTCATCCTTGTTGCAATACAAATAGTATTTATAAGTTATAATTTGCACTGACATAGGAGATTTAATATTCAAGAGAAATGGCCACTATTTTCAGATATCTTGTATGTTTTTTTCTAAATTTTTTATGAATTCTTGAAAAAAGATATAAAACTAAAAATAAATTTGTAAAGAACCGGAAAATCAATTTTCTAGTTGAATATGGGATATTCTCCCCCCTTCAAACGTATAGCTCCATCCCTAGGTGTTGGTGAGGAGGAAAATAAGGGATATGAGTAAAGGAAAATAAGAAGTTGCGAGGAACAGGCATTGAATATTGCCAACAACCCAACAAGAAAAAGGAGGTTGGTATATTTACTCAAAAGCTAGGAAACGATGAAAAAGCTCACTGAAGCAAATCTGGAGCTTTTCCATATGCATTTATTATTATACTTATTGGATTAGAAAAATGGCATATCACGAATCAATACCATGACACCTAATTTTTTTGAATTTCAAATATATCTTGCTAGCCCACTTTGGGGGTGGTTGTTTACTTTAGTATTTGAATCGTTCTTGCATTTCTTGTTTTCTACAAATATTGTGACAGGTATGAGAGCAAAAATCGACTATATAAAGCTAGATGGGCAGAAATAATAGACAGATTATCATGTAAAACTAGGGGTGGCAAACGGAAGGGTCAAAAATGGGTAATGCAAAAATGAATAAATTATCCGACCCGACCTATATTTAATACAAATAAAAAATGGTTTAACCAACGGATAATATGGATATCCATATTATGCATGCCTTCTTGAATATGATCACTTTTGGAAGAATTCCCAATCTTCTAAACTTGAGGAACCCCTAATTTGAGGCTTTACAAATGTAAAAGTTAAACTTAATGGTTATTTCATTTTCTAAGTAAATAATATAATTTTTATCCGTATTTGATAGATAATATGGGTGGATAATTATTTTTTTAAACCATTTTGCCACCACCATGTAAAACCAGCAGAGGATGAGGATAATCCCTTTCAACTTAAAATTCATAAGTGGTATTTTTTTTTTTCCTTTTCTAGTTTAGTTTATTTAGGGGTGTTCATGAAAACCCGAAAAATCGAACCAAACCGACCAAAAAAACCGATACTTTTTAGGTTTGATTTGATTTTGATTTTGAATTTTAAAAATCGATCAAATTTGGTTTGTTTTGGTTTTAATCAAACAATAACAGAAAAACCCGAACCAAATCGACTATAGAAGTAGCTATTTAAATTTATTATTACANCTATCATCAATATACCATGGTAAATGATAGATTTCTCAAAGAGTAATTGATTTGATAGTGTTACGATGAAAATATAGTCGCCGAAATATGTGTTTGGTAGTGTATGTCTCATAATATAAGAAAAAAAACGGTAAATAACCGAATAACCGGCAAAAATCGAATTGTTAAAAAATCGACTTAATTAATTGGTTTGGTTTGGTTCCAATATTTTAAGAACCGACTTACTTGGTTTGGTTTTCTTTTAAGGAAACCCCGATCCAAACCGATACATGAACAACCCTAAGTTTATTTTTGAGGAGAGATATTGCATAAAGTTTTTGTCCTTTGTAGCTTTTATTGAACCTTTGTTTTAAAAGAAAAAAAATCTGTTATTTTAGTATGGCATATTTGCGCATAGAGAGGTCAATTTTTCTAGTACTAGTAGTGTCCATAAATGAAAAATTAAATAGCTTTTACCTTAGAAAGAAATTTGAATGAGGGTTTTCACGTGAAAACCCTGAACAGCATTTTGCCTCTCCTTTCAGAGAAGAGAGCATTGATTGCTCAAATGACAAATCCATGACCATTTGTACGTCCCTTGCTCTGCAATCTGCATATGCACAGTGAGATGCAAGTTGATGCTGCCTTTCCATTTTGGCGGTTTAATCAACCTTCTATTATATTTCAATGTCCACCGGCCTACAATTAATTCATATTCGTGTCGAGTAAATCTACTAAACAGCTTATTCTAAATCAAGAATTTTGATTAAAAGTGAAAGAATTCCATCCATCTAATCACATCCCTCGATGGGGTGATTCTGCTCAATGTAATGTTTATTGATATAATTAAATTATTTCATATGAAGCTCAATTTTGGTACGTTTATGCATGTCACTGAGAACCCAAATATCTCATTTGTAGGTGGAGAGAGAAATGGATTCAAAATCTTAAACGAGTGGACGTAGAATATCACTGCATTCACTTTCTCTTCATGTCAATAACTAGGAACTTCATGTATGTATTATTTTTATTTAACTTTATACATGGAGTTCGAAACTACTTACATGTAGGAACTTGTGGAGGCAGGTGAGCTTGTCATTATAATGCAAAGCTAGGTTGCATTTGTTTTAGTTTGTGGGGAAGATTGCCATTTTGTATCCTTCATATATTTTATATATTTGGTTTCCGAAACATTCACCTTGACTTTCTATACAGTTTATCTAGCCGGTATACATAAATTATATATCGATTATACATAGTTATACATATATTATACATTGGTTGGCTATTTTTAGTTAAGTTAGTTGAATGGCTGCTGTTTAGGTTAATTCTTCTAATTATTATAATTAAAACGTAATGTACCCCAAATCGAACGAGTAAACTAACAGAAACTTAGAAGAAACAAAAACATAAACCTAATACCTAGACACTGTTACTAATTTAATGAGAAGAAGATCATATTTTTTTTTTTCTCTATATCGATTCTTTGACTGTAAAACAAGCGATCTTATTTGAAAAAAATGTTTCCATTTTATTGGGATAAATATCATCAAACTGCATAAAAAGGAGACAATCTCGTGAACGATCTAACAAATATCCGTCGCCTTTAATTTTTTCTCTCTTTTTCTTTTGAAAAAGAGGCGGATAACTAGGCAGCTACATGAGTAGTCAAAACTACCTATACATCACTACATGAGAAATAGCTAGAGGCTAAACTTCAACTAAATATTTAATAAGTTATTAGAATTCATCCACATATTATTTAAATAGCTTAGTAATAGCCAAAGAATTAATGTTTGTCCTTTTTTCTTGTTTACTTATTTTTCTTTTTCCTTTTCCTTTTTTTTTTTTTTGTGTGGTTGAACCTTACCTAGTACCCAAGAGCTGGAGAATGGAAACGGACATTTTTAGGGAAGCTTTCATTGGTCGTTTCGCTAAATACTTGAGTTATTTTTCCAATGACTTCGTCTACGTGTTATTGAATGGATGTAAATTGGTATATACTAACAGCATAGCCGATTGTTATATAATTATCAGTATAGTTTTACCTACTTAACAAGTTATTTAGCATAATTTATTTGATACCGAGCCATGTTTGATTCGTATATTATTTGTCATTGGCTTTTAAGTGTTTTGATATGTAAATATTCTTTATACCATCAAAATATAAACGTTAAACTTTTTAAATACTAAATCCCGGAACTTGATCTTCAATGCTTTTTATTACCGTTGTCCTTTGAACATTACTAATACAATAACAACAACGATCCAGTAAAACTTCACTTGGGGTATGGGAAGGGTAGTATATACGCAGACCTTACCCCTACCCCGAGGGAATTAGAGATGTTGTTTCCGAAAGACCTTCGGCTCAAGAAGACGAAAAGAGATAATATGTCAGTACCATCAACAGAAACCAAAGGAATAATAACAGCATCATAAAAGCCAGAAAATAGATGAAAACAATAGCAATAACCAATAAATAGACTCGGCACTATAAAACGAAAGAGTAGTGTCGATCTCCCATATCCCCCTGGATAACCGACCCAAGGTACTTGAAACTGCCTCTACTGGGGATGACCTGTGATTCAAGCCTCACGTACATGTCCGCTTCCCTCGGCTCGGCACTAAACTTGCATTCGAGGTATTCCGTCTTGGTCCTGCTCAGCTTAAAACCCTTAGACTCAAAGACCTATCTCCAAACCTCTAGCCTCTCGTTAATACCGCATCGCGTCTCATCAATCAGAACTATGTCGTCAGCGAATAACATACACCATGGCACATCCCCTTGAATATGGTGTGTTAGTGCGTCCATCACCAAGGCAAATAAGAATGGGCTGAGCGCAGATCCTTGGTGTAACCCCATATATAACAACTGAAAAATGCTCTGAGTACGCCTCCTACTATCCTAACCCAAGTCTTAGCTCCATCCTACTACATAGAACATTACTAATAATTGCTTCATTTTTGGGGGGAGAAAGTAGTTCTTTTCTTAAATACAACTCAGAATTCTTGTACTTGGAGTACAAGCATTAGTGGACTCTCCATTTTATATTAGGGTATGACTATTAGCGAATTATAACTCATTTTATTTGTTTTTAAATCTTTAACTATATGGTTGAGTGTTAAAATACGCTATTTACAAATAAATTATATACCAATACATCTAAAATCATTTATTTCTCCTTTTTACCCTCTAGTTATGGGCAACAACTATTTAAGTGTTGATTTGGAATTTTAATATAGACCAAATTGACTCAATTTTTTTAGTTGACTCAATTGTATAATTGATTGGTTCGAATATCAATTTTAAGCCTTAAATGAATATCCGACCTACCAATCTGTCCAATGCACACTTTGGACTAGGTACACACATTAATAGGTTATAAAGTTGACTCTTAATATCCAAATTAAATCAATGATATAGGAATAATCAATTAAAAAGATTATCCCGTTGTCCCTTCAATAGTTTGCTTTTTCAAAATTAAAATTAATCTTTTCTAATTTATTAAGGAACTTATTTAATTATATAGTTTAAATATTCTTTACTTGGAGTTTGTACGAGGGAATTCTAAATCAAATAAGTTAGGTACCCCTCCTTAGATAAGCAAACCAAATCCTCACCCAATAGCCAGTGAATCCCAAACGGAGCCGTTTAATCTTTAAACACTTTTTTACGATGTCGTATTAAAACATTATTGCCTCCGACAAATTCTCACCGAACAGAGTACGAAACTAAACAGATACTTGTAGTTTCCTTGTGAATCCAAACTTTCTCCAATTGATTCCGTGTAGCAGAAAAAACCCTTTTTATTTTTCCATTTAAATAGTGAGAACTTGTTCAAAGTCATTATTTCTTGTTTTCTCAAAGGCGCACCCTTTTTCTTTTGTAAAAACACTGTTTGCAAGATCCGGTCTTAGTGAGAGAGTTGGGATTGAGCTTTCACTAATACTAATAGAAGAATTTTTAGTAAAGGGAGGAAAGAGCTTGCAGCCTACTTGTGGGGCACTGTGTACTTACAGCCTCTACGATAAGCAAGTGAATGTGGCCGGTGCGTGGCGAACGGTTCATCAAGCCATTTTTCGCCTCAACTCCCTAAATAGGAAGAGGGGTAGTTTACAAATTGGGGTAATCAATTCGCACCTGACTGTGATAGCCCTCTCAATACCTTATTGGAGCTTTGTAACTAGTGGCCGATTTCCCGTCGCGTCAGNCAGCCAAATTGATCACAACTCCTCTTCAATTCTTCGATTTTCTTCTGTTTTGGTAAGTTTTAAAGATACCCTCTTGCGTGAATTTCCGTTCTTAGTGATTTCTACATGCCCTTAGTCCATTACAATGTAATTGTTTGTGTATTTTCGTGGTTTTTTTTTTTTTTTTTGGGTGTGATTCTGATGTGTTTGGCTGTCTGAAATTTGCAGGTAAAGATCAAAGTTCGAGTCTTGTCATGGCCAAGAGTTCTTTCAAGCTTGAACACCCCATGGGTAATTTTGTTTTCTAATTCAGCTTTTTGTTGTTATACTACAAATTGTTTGATTGTGTGTATGTATCTTTGACTTTTTTATGTCTTTCTTGAACTTTCATAGGTGATCATAGTTCATGTATTTGTTGTTTCAATCATGCTGAAAAACTTAATATTGATCAGTGCCTTTTCCCTTTTGTGTCCTTGGTGTTTGATGCTATTATGTTCATTTGGTTTTCCAGTTTGAGGTTTGTCTACTGAATAAGATTCAATATCTGGTGAAACAACAATGAGACCTGAATGTTTTCATCCATATGAGAGTGAGCCAGGAATTTTACAAGGTGATTAAAAAATGTCACACCTGGGATTTGGACCTATGACCTAAAGCAATATTTGAACCTTTTTGCCACTTTACTAGAACTTTTCCGTATTGTAAGGGATTCAACAACTTATATATAACGAAAAGAAATTAGCTTTTTCCCTATTTAAACAGTATAATTTTTCAATGTAGGGGATTCAATTGACCTAGCTTCACCCGTGATGAAAGTTTTATCTCCCTTTGTTGACATTTTATACTGTCTAGTGTTTGGAGCTGTATATATTTGCAGTTTAGTAAAATTATTACCTTATCAAAAAAAATTCTCATAATTGAGGCACTGTTGCATTTCTGCTTGTCTATACAACGACGACCCAGTGAAATCTCACGAGTGTTACGCAGACCTTACCCCTACCCCGAGGGGGTAGAGAGGCGGTTTACGATAGACTCTCGGCTCAATAAGACGAACAATTGAGGCACTGTTGCATTTCTGCTTGTCTATGTTCTGTTTGTTTTTTTTTCCTTCCTATGTTTAGCTGGATATCTGTTTTGACTATTTTGAGCTGAAAAATTGCATTCTGAGTGTTTTACACGTGTAATAGTAATCAAGATGCTTCCAAATTTTATGTTGAGAATTAACAAACCTACTTGTAAAGCATGTAATACTCACGAATCATGTCAGAGTTTGCATGATTGGCTTTAAGCTTCTTCTTTTTTCTCTTCTGCATGTGTGGGTGTGCATATGTTTATAGAAAAAAAGAACATAGGGGAATATGGTGGTTATTTTGACTTTTTGGTCTTAAAATTTATGTACTGCTTGGAATTGCTAAACAAGTTTATGAACTGGAGGTTAGCTCATGGAGAAGAGACTGTATAACTTTTCTCGATTCTCCTGAGCATATCCTATTTTTTGCTTGAAAACATCAGACAATAAAGCTAGTACTTTCAGGTGTAAATTCTGATGAGTGCACAATGTGGTTTTGTTTACAGAGAGGAGGCAGGCAGAGTCTTCTCGCATCCGAGAGAAGTATCCTGATCGAATTCCGGTATGATCATGGATTTAATTCAATACTTAGTACTCTTGTCTGCTTCTCTCTGACATTCAAGTTTCCTAATTCAGGTGATTGTTGAGAAGGCAGAGAGGAGTGATGTCCCTGACATTGATAAGAAGAAGTAAGTTGCTACTTTCCTTCTTTTCCTAGATGTTTTGGACGTTAAATTTTCAAAATCAAGTGCTTAATTTATGAGCTTCTACCTTAAGGTGATTAAATCTACCAATCCAGTTACATGGATTGTGTTTTGGCATGCCCTACTGGTCATCTGGTAAATTGCATTCTTGTTCTCTTTGGTGGTTATTGTTGACTTATGGTTACAAGAATGGCTTTGTGCATCTTACCCTGTTTTATAGATCAAATGTTTGGTTTTAGCATAGCTAGTAATATGAGGTGTTTGTTCCTATTAGTTTGAGATAAGGATATTGTCATGGGATGTTGGGGGTGGTTATATTTTATGTGAAAGCTTTAAGGGTGTTAATTTTCATTTTTTGTATCATTTTTTAGAAAAACAAATTCATACCAAAAAAGCTGGAATACGTATGCTTTTTCTGTTAAATTCGTATGCTTTTTCTGTTAGGAGAATCTGGCAGGAAGGTTGATGGAATACGTATGCTTTTTCTGTTAAATTCGAATTTCAAAAAAGCTGTTGTCTTCCCTGAGGTTCTCATAACGTAAATGATCAAATACTTGAGTCCATGATATTTCTATGGAGAATGGGATTGCGTGTGGAAATAGCTAATAAGCTCAGTTTAATTTAGTGAATTGGCAGGAATGGACCTATGATCGCTTGGATGTTTCTTCTCTGCAACTAAACATGCTAAGTGTTCATTAGCCGTGAAATGTTTGCAGCATTTGTATCGAATGTTATTGTCACTTATGGTTCCTATGTCTGATTGTCCATAGTTGGACTGGGTTGACCGCTCTGTTAATGCTCATTTGTCTTACCTTGTGATGCAGATACCTCGTCCCAGCTGATTTGACTGTCGGCCAGTTTGTTTATGTGGTTCGGAAGAGGATCAAGCTCAGTGCTGAGAAGGCCATATTTGTGTTTGTCAACAACACTTTGCCTCCCACGGGTAAGAAGAGAGATTTTGTAGGTCTTTTACTTATTCTGATAGTTGTATAATTGCACCTTTTTTTTTTAATTGCAGCTGCTCTGTTGTCTGCAATATATGAGGAAAATAAGGATGAAGATGGATTTCTCTACATGACATACAGCGGAGAAAATACATTTGGGTTCCTTGAGCTTGGAAATTAATATCGCAAAGTTACTATCTCCATTGTAAATCTGCTATTTCTTTGATCTCATCTTGGGTTGCTGACTGTTGTCGTTCATTTTCATTAATCTATACATCCAATTTGACTGAAGAGCTTATGGTCCTCTTCTGGTTAACCTTACCATGTACAGATGACTCTTGCTCTCTTATCCAATAGCCCCTTTTTTCTTATAAATTTCTTTTGGTTCAAAACGTGTTAGATGAAGAAGAAAAAAAAAAAGAATACAATAAATTTGTTTGGGAGAGTGTGTGATCTGTCGTCTTGTAGCAAAGGTTGTGAATGTTGTGGGTAGGGTTTAAATCTTCAGTAATTCATAGTACATGCTATTGATTTGAAAGAAAAATCTATACTAGTACTAGTTTAAAGACTGGTAATACCTCTCCTCGACCTTTTGGTTAAATATCAATTATTGCTAGCAATTGAACTTCGTGAGCTGATATACAGTTCATCAGTTTCTGTTCAATCATGTAAGGTACTCTAAATGTTTAATAAATTAGACTTGATTATGATTAACATATTTGTCCTTGTTCATATAGAAGTAGCTGAGTTATAGCTTTTCGATTGCCGCAATTTCTTTCTTGACTTAAAGAAGTTTGCAAGGAAGCAATATAAACTATGTCGTCTTTAGGAATGAGACAAGAATTGGATAAACCTAAGCAAGTCCTAATATAACTGAAGTATAACAATCCATAATTTTATTTGAGGCCTCTAATTTGACATGTTTGATCTGAAATCTTGAATGTTCTTACAGAAGGCCAGATAAAGATGAGATAATCTCTATCTCTATTCATGAAATGGAAGAGTTCTTCTTTTGTGATCTGCTCCTAACCCATTTGATGACCATAGAAGGGCCATTTTTCACTTTCTGTGCACCTGCAATTGCTACTGCTTTGACTTTGCCAATTCCTGCACTGGCTTTTTTGTTATTTCCATTTTCTTTGTTGCTCTTATAATAGCTCTCATCTTCATCTATGGCACCTATTCCTCCTGCACCCCATTGATCTGCCCAACTTGGTCCATTAGTAGCCATAATTAAATCCTTTCAACAATCAACAAAAGTTTTGTCAAGAAACTCTTAACCAAATTAAATTGTGAACAAGATAAAATGATTTAGTCAAGAATAAAGGAAAATAATAAGAGGGGTTGAGCATTTTACCTTATCAGAGCTTGGAACTGGTAGACTTTCTTAATTAGTGAGGGTATTTTAAGGACTGTTTCTTAAACTTGTGTTTTCCTTTTATAGAAGACTTGTCTAACTCATAAGGTTACCTTACTCTTGAAGCAAACATTGATTGGGCTTTCATTAGTTTATTCTTCTTCTACAAAAAGGTTAAAGTTTCCCAATTATCATTTACCTACCTTGTTAGTGGTTGTGTATAAAAGTAGAAATTAGTGGTTGAAGTGGAAGGATTTAGTTAACCAAAAGTAAGACTGATGCTTTGGCTTTTCCACATATGACAAAGCACTATCTAGTATCTACAAAATTGTAGTCCTCTTAACAACCCCACTGCCACTCATGCTTGCTCTTCCACATCTACGATAACAAAGTTTAGGATTTAGGTGATTCTGTTGAAACACAAGTCATAAGTTGTTATTTCTCCTCCTCTGTTTTCTACTAAAAAGAAGACCTCATATGAGCTCCCCTCTTTTTCCATTTCCTCAACATCTTTGAATTCAGAAAATCTGGAAAATAATTTTGTGACAGCTCATTTTGGTCCTACCTAAGTTTTAGCCATGGCCAGCCTATACTATATAGAAGGGTCCCCTACGTGTGTTATGTTTTCGTCATACGAGGGGCTAAAATGTCTTGACTTTGCTTTGCCTTTTGCGATAATTCTGGATGAAATAAATGAAGCCCTTTCTATTCTTCAATGTAGTTCAACTGCCAGTCTGCCCTATTGGCAGTCATTGCAAATCAAATTCATTCAAAGCTGGAGTGGTTGTAGTATTTGGGCTACTAGTTTGGTCATATCAACCACCTTTAGCTTAAATCATATACTTGTATATATGGAAGTGGCAGTACTACTCTGCCTCAACTAATTTAAATCTAATCCTACATCAAGATCTACATTTGTTACCGGGTATATCCTTAGATGCGGATCATAGCGAGTTATGTGAGTTCAACTGAACTTATTGCTTAGGATCCGAATTATTATGTACTCTCTTTGTCCTACTTTATTAGACATATATTCTTTTTTGTTCTTCTAAAAAAAGAATGACATATTTCTCTAATTGAGAATAATTTAAAATTAGCATCCACTATCTTTACATATGTTTAGCTTATGTGTCCAAAGTCAAAATTTGTCCGGCGGATCATACTTGTGGGATTACATTGAATTTGTTGTTTGTTGTTGGTGTTATCCGGTATATCATACGCAAGAAGTCGCACACATCTAGAGAAGTACTTATTTCATTCGCTGATAGTGTAAACAATTTTCACACATTTAGTGTAATATGATCAACTCTAATAGGGAACTAATTCTCTCTTCCAGATAACCACCCCATGTTTAGTCGACTTATGTTGTTCTAGACAAAATTTTACAAGCATGAGTAGTTATTAGAACGAACTCTTTGTGAAACTTTTCCAAGTAAAAACGAAAAAAGATAAAAACATGATATAAATTTAGAACGACAGCAAGAAAAAACTAAGAGATAACCCTCTTGGTTTAAGAGGCAGAGGAAAAAGGGGCCTGACAATGATGTCAAAATGATTAAATGCACAAAGTGTAAATTTAACCTCTAGGCTCTAGTATATCCAGTTTTCACCTAATTTTGACCTCTTAGTTAGTATAATTTTCCCCCTTCATGTGGTAGTTGCTAATTATTGAAAATTATACACAAGTCAAAATATCGTTGCTTTGTCGGAAAAACAAATAATGTCTTTGCTTTGAGCAACAACTATAATATCTACAACCCCACAATACCCCTTCTAACATGGCCTTGTGTCACATTGCAAAACTCCAAACCCCACAATATTGCACGCCTTCTACTCCCACACCACTCTTATTTGATCAGAAATACAGCTTTTTGATTGATCTTCCTTTTCAGCTTTTTCCTTCAAAATATCTTCCTTTTATAAAAGGTCAAACTAGTAGTGTTTTCACATATTTCCATTCAATAAATAGTTACTAAGTACTATATAAAGATGAGATTAACCTACATAAGATCCTTTTTATTCTTCTACTATTAGTTAGCTTGGATTTAGAAACTCATCAACTGAATAGCAACTAGACGATCCGAGGAAAAAGAATGAGAATTGAGAGACTAAAGATTACGTGTTAAGGAGATTCAAGATTAGAGCCTCCCTCGTATCCACAAACTATATTAGAGACCAGAAGTAATAGAAACAGAACAGTTGGTCATATTCATATGGTAAAAGAATTAGTAAAGACATTCACTTGGTTCTCCTAGTAGACTTAGATTTCTTCATTTTCCTATTCTTCTCATCAAAACTACTCCAACTATATCCACCAGGTATTGCAAATGGATCTGCTTGTTGTCCTCCATTACTGCTCTGTTGTGGCTGCTTGCTCGAAGAGCGCGACCGGCTATTGCTCCTCGACAGCCACGACGACGATGATGAAGACGACGATGATGGAAATGAACGGTAATTACTGCCTGAACTTTCATCCTCAGCACCATTAAGAAGGTGGCTCGGACTTGAAAATGGAGTGTAGAACTGTTCAATTGGTTGTAGCTCGACAAATTTCGTGAATGTTATTACCACCCTCACTGTAGGGACCACCGGTATAGCCAACTGTAGCCACAACAAAATAATTGCCGTTAGAAAAATCAAAAAAGTTAAAACTAAGGCAGATACACATTCAAATCAAAGCGTAAGGAACAGGTTGGTCCACACAGAATTAAGCCGGGTCCCTTATGAAACTGCTTTCCCCAACAACTGGTGGCAGACGCAAGTGTAGAATGGTGGATACACTCACACACTCTGTATGTATAATTAAGAAAGATATAAAAAAAAAGTATAGGTGTATTAAATTTGCATTTATAGTATAAAAAAAATACCCTGTCTTAGATCATACTTTATCCATGTGTAACGGCTCGACCATTGATGGCTGATGAAAGTATAGGTGAGATCGAAGAGCACTCGCAGTTAGTACAACACTAATGTGAAATATTAAAAAGAAAATATCCGATGCATGGACTAAACTTATTAATTTGTCATAGTTAAGTAATATAAGTTATTAATAGTATATTGTAAACAGGTGATAAGTTAAATTTTTAAAACAAATCAAGTCGAAGAAATAAGAATATAGTTAGAATGTTTATATCAAACCAAATAACTTAATTCAAAAAGTTACTACAAATTAAAGTAGGTCCAAAAACAAACCAAATCCTAGGATTAAATCTGGACCCACAATAACCCATTAAAATACTCCTTTGTCAATAAAATGGGTCCCAGGAAGATTCTTTGCGTTAAACACTAGGAAAAGTGTGACAGGAGCTGAAGCTAAAACAGACCAGCTAAGGTCTTTAGCTTGTGTGCATGAAAAGAAGAATTAAAGAGCAAAAACTGATGCACATAATCAAAGCTTCATCAGAAGAAATGAGAATCTCGTGGGACCTGAGAATTTAGGACGAAATACCAAGTATACCCCTTACCTTTACTGGAAATGTCCCCGGAGGGAACTTGGTCGTTAACAGCTCTCTCATTCGTCTAACGGCTTTGACCTTGTTCGCTAATATGTCAAGTAACGGCAGCAACTCCTCCGTCTTCAAGGGGAACTGCTCCGTTAACCAAACCGACGGTTTCAGACTCTTCACATACTCTTTCTCCTTCGTATTCGGTGGTGGTGCAACCGGTATCGCCGCCGTTCTCCGCCGTGGTTCAGGAATAATGTCGACACTCTTTCTGGATACGGTAACGAACTCTCTCTCCTCTCGAATGAAACTGCTGTGGCGTCTTTGTCTGTTACCTTCCCCGGTAGCGGATGGGCGAGTAGAGACGCTAAACCGTGGATTTTCTGCTACGAGGAAACCTTCTTCAGAATCCTCTTCGAGTTCCAAGTCTAATGGCAAAATTTGTTCGCTTTCAGCTCCGGTGATTTTCCGTGATCGGAAGCTGAAAACAACATTGTGCACATCGTAAACCCTACCTTTCCATTCACCGACGTTCTCCGTTTTGTCTTGCCCTCTCCAATTCGTACGACCGACTA